GTTTATGAAAATTAATAAAATATAATTATAGAAAAAAAACAAAAACTGCTTTTAATAAGGAAAAGACCTGACTTATATAATATACAGCAATAATTATTTTAATTACACTGTTTTTCTAATATCCTGCAGTGTATGGCTTCACATGGGCTAGTGAGCATTTGACTTCTGTGTCATACCAGTTTCTGAAGGGGAAGGTGGCTCTCTTTCATCAAGATCATCTGCAGATGACATGGTACCACTTGAAGGAGTTCGAGGAAGTTTTCGATGAAAGTCTCCTAAGAAAATGATGGATAAAATTATGTGATCATGTATTAAACCAGCATTAAGAATGACAGCATTCTTAGAATAAACAATTCCTACCATCATACTAGCTTCAATATAAAATTTGTTTTCATTCTCAAGACTTCAGATATTAGAAATTCAGATATTTATTCCTGGGAATGAAAAGCATGTAAATCAAATGGAACCTTATCAAATACAGTTTAAAAGCTAAGGTCCATATATCCAAATGAGATCTTCTGCCAACTTATGAAAAATTTCTCCCCATGTCTTATGTCTATTATTGGATGAAAGCTGGTCAAATAATAAAGTTCTCAATGACATAACTGTTGAATTAAGTTAATAAATGTATATAGCACAATCTAAAGTTTTCTTAAATATATAATAATTTAAAATCAGTAATACAACAGAACACTACATTTATGCTAACAAGAAGACAAACATAAAAATCAAGAATAACACAACCATCGTAACAGGATGCAGGCTGTGCCAGCCAAGGACTCTGCCATCTGTGTGAAAGCTTGGTAGGAAGCAGACTTGTTAGGGTCAGGAATTTTGCTCCCTTTTGGCATTAACAAACAGGGGGCTATCTAAGTAAAAACTCACTTTAACAGAAGGTTTTAACTCTTAGGATCACCATTCCAAAGCTCTTTCCACATGATTTACATTTACGAAAAGGAATAATCATAATGTTTTAAAGGTGGTCATTTAGGTTTTGCTTTGAGTATGTCCTCAGTGACTCAGAAATACAAAGGAGCACATTCCATCATAGCTTTAATTGCAAATTGGCTTCCTTCAGTGAAACAGTATCTGCTTTCCCTTCTAATTCCAAAGAGTCCTGGTGGTGTCCACGACACATATGAGGAAAACTAAAAGGTCAGCAGTTCAAATACACCAGCTGCTCCAAGCAGAGAAATGGGCAGTCTCCTCTAATGAAGACTTAAGAGCTCAGAAACCTGCTGGAGAGTCACTGTGAAGAGGATCCAACTTGACTAATGTCAGTGGCTTTGATTAATGCTTTTATCAAGTGTACCTTTTGGGTATTTGTCCCAACAGAATCAAAGCAGCATTTATTTAATCCTTTGAACTGATATTTGAAGAGCGTGGACATGTCCCCAGTTTCCTCTTTTCAAGTGAGGCTCTAAATCCATTTGTCATGTGACATGGGTTCCAGGTTCTGGCCATTCTCTGCTCTGTCTTAACTGGAAATAGCTTTCTCAATCCCACATTTATAAGAGTTCACTAAATTGTCCATGATAGTTACTAATAATTTTTTAAAATTTTATTTTATACTGGTTTACATACAAAGCTCATAAAATTTATATACTTTGTTTTTCACATCAGACCTTTCCCCTTTCCTTTACCAATCCCTCCTTCTACCCATCAAATTCTTCAACCCTATGTTTAAGTTCCCCTGCGCCACTGGATCCTTGTACACGTTGTATAAGCATTTGCATTTATGAGATTGAGTTAGTTCACTTAGCATAATGCTCTCCAGTCCCTGCCATGTTAGGTAGCAGTTTACAAACTCAATGCTCCTGCGTGCTGCATAGTATTCCATTGTATAAATGTACCATAATTTCTCAATTCATTCAATTGTGGTTGGACATCTGGGTTGTTTCTATGTTCTTGCAGTGTTGAATAATGCTGCTGTGAACATTGCTGTACAAGTCTCTGTTTGTGCCTCAGTTCTCCTTTTCTCAGGGTATATTCCAACCAGTGGAATAGCTGGGTCATATGGAAATTCTATGTTCAGCTTTTAGAGGAAATGACATACTGCCTTCCAGAGTAGTTGTACCATTTTAAAATCCCACCAATAATGTATAAGAGTTCCTATCTCTCCACATCCTCTCCAACATTTATTACTTGCTGTTCTGTTAAACTTTGTCACTGCTACTGGGGTAAGATAGTATCTCATTGTGGTTTTTATTTAAATCTCTCTTATTGCCAGTAATTTGGAGCATTTCTTCATGTGTTTGCCTGTTGGCCATCCTAAAGTCTTCCTCTGTGAAAAGTCTTTCCATGTTTTTTGCCCATTTTGTAATAGAATTATCAATCTTTTTCTTCTGGAGGCCCTGTAAAATTCTGTAAACTTTTGTTATGAGACCTTTGTCTGAGATGATACTGTCAATTTTTTGTTCCTAGTCAGCAGGTTTTCTTTTCACCCTGTTGGAAAAAGTTTTCAATGTGCACAGATATTTAAGCTTTAGGAGGTCCCATTCATCAATTTTTATCCTCTTCACATCGTGCATTACTGGCTGTACTTGGCAGTCCCTTTATACCATAGGCTAGGCCTTCTAAGCTTGGTCCCAGTTTGTTTCTTATGAGCTTTATGGTTTGGGATTTTATTCTGAGGTCTCTGATCCACCTTGAGTTGATTTTTGTGTATGGTGTGAGATATGGATCCTGTTTCAGCTTTATACAGATAGCAGTCCAGTTTTGCCAGGACCATTTGTTGAAGAGGTCATCATTTCCCCATTTTATAGCTTTTATTTCCTTGTCAAATATCAGTTGACTTTAGACAGATAAGTCCACTTCTGGATTCTCAATTCTGTTCCATTGGTCTATGTGCCTATCATTATACCAGTACCATGCTGTTTTAGTTGTGAGGTTAGGGAGTGCTAGAATTCCCACTTTTTGTTCTTCAGAAGTACTTTGCTTATTTGGGGTCTCTTTCGTCTCCAAACAAACTTGACAATTTCCCTTTTGATCTTGAAAAATTAATTTTCTATCTATATTGGGATTAAGTTGAACATGTAGATTGCTTTTGGTAAGACTGTCATTCTCACAATATTGAGTCTTCTTCCTATCTGTGAACAGGGCACATTTCACCATTTAAGTCTTTTATTGTGTCATGCAGAAATGTTATATAATTTTCTTTATATAGGTCTTTTGTATCTTTAGTTAGATACACTCCCAAGTATCTCAATTTGTGGTTGGCTACTGTATTTGGTATTGCTTTCTTGGTTTCCTTCTCCAAGTTCTCTTCATTACTGTAGAGGAATCCCACTGATTTTTAGATACTGATCTTGTATCCTGGTATGCTGCTATATTGATTTACTACCCCTAACAGTTTTTTTGTTGAGTCCTTGGGGTTTTCTGTGTACACTATCATATCATCTGCACTGAATGACAATTTAACCATCTCTCTGCCAGTCAAAAAGCCTTTTCTTTCTTTCTCTTATCATACTGCGATAGCATGTACTTCCAATACAATATCGAACAGCAGTGGCCACAGTGGACATCCTTATCTGGTCCCTGTTCACAAGGAAAATGCTTTTAGCCTTTCTCCACTGAAATGATACTGGATCTTTGTTTTGCATATATAACTTTTCCCTATGTTTAAAAATTCCCTTCTATTTTTGTTGAATATCTTAATCAGAAAGGGGTATTGGATTTTGTCAAATGCCTTTTCTGCATCAATTGCTAGGATGATATGGTTCTTGTTATTTTTTGTTGTTGTTGTTGTTAATATGGTGAATTATGTTGATTGTTTTTTTGTATGTTGAACCATCCTTGCATACCTCTTATGAATCCCACTTGGTCATGATGAATTTTTTTTTATGTGCTTCTGGATTCAGTTGGCTAGGATTTTGTTATGGATTTTTGCATCTATGTTCATGAGAGATATTGGTCTATAGTTTGTTCTGGGTTTTTTTGTTTGTTTGTTTTATTTGTAGTATCTTTGCCTGATTTTGGTATTAGGGTTGTGCTTGCTTCACAGAATGTCTCTGACAGTGTTCCTTTCCCCCCCCCCTATATTTTGAAATAACTTAAGTAGAATTGGTGATAAATCTTCTCTGAAGGTTTGGTAGAATTCAACTGTCAAGCCATCCAGTTCAGGACTTTTTTGGTGGGGGAATCTTTTGATAATCACTCAATTTCTTCTTTTGTGATGGTTCTGTACAGGTGTTCTACATCTGACCATGTCAATCGGGTATGGCATGAGTTTCAAGGAATTTGCCCCTTTACTCTAAGTTTTCAAATTTATCCAAGTATAGCTTTTCATTATTTTCTGATATCATAGATTTAATTTCCTCTGGTTCTATTGTCATGTCAACTCTATCATTCCTTAATTGAGTTATTTGTGTCTTCTCCTTTTTTTCTTTTAAGTTTACCAATGATTTGTCGATTTTATTGATCATTTTGAAAAACCAGCTGCTGGTCTTATTGATGGTTTCAATAGTTTTTCTGTTTTCTATCTCATTGATTTCAGCTTCTATTCTTATAATTTCCTTTCTTCCAGAGGCTGTTGGCTTAGATTGTTCTTGTTCTATTTGATGAAGGTGTTGAGTTCAATCATTTATTTTGCTTCTTTCTTCTTTATGTGTTTGCCTATTGCTATGAACTGAGGAATGCGTTAGCTGTATCCCTGAGGTTTAGGTACGCTGTGTTTTCATTATTATTTATTTATTTCAGTGAACTTTTTAATTTCATTCTTTATTTCTTCTATAACCCAATCGTGTTCTAGCAGCTATTTAGGTTCTTATGTTGATTGCTTTATAAACTTTATCCTCTGGTGGTTAATTTCTAGTTTTATGGCCTTGTGGTCTGAGAAGATTCTATGTATTACTTAATTATTTTTTTTTAATTTTTGAGGCTTGCTTTGTGCCCTAATATGTGATCACTTATGGACAATGTACCATGTGCACTTGAGAAGAAAGTGAATTGAGTTTTAGTTGGGTGCAGTGCACCGAATAATCCACAAGGTCGAGTTGGCTGACTGTATAGTTTAATCCTTCTACATTTTTTTTTACAGTATAAAATGTTTATTTCATGGAATTACTTTGTGAACATTATTGTCAGTATTACATTTTAAGGTATTTTGACATTTGTAAGCCATTAAAATTTAAGGTTAGCTTGCCACATAATGCAAATGAAATCAGTTGTAGATTATATCCCATTGTATGCAGGTCCTCCACCACCTTCAGCTACCACCCAGTTAATGTTCTGACTTGGATCTTTAATATCACACGTTTTGCAGTGCACACAGTTC